AAAACGCACTAACAAAAGTAATCTGGGGCATATGGCATTCCTTCCCCTACACATTTCTAATATAAATCCTCTAATCATTTGTATCTTGCTTTTCGGGTTTATTGTCAAGTCAAGTCTCTTTTATTTCTCTCCAAAGAATAAACTGCCTGCCTCAAAGAAGGGAACTGCTTCTACCTAAAAGAGGCAAAACGCAACAGCTGGGCTAGGCGGATGGTACCTGTTATGTAAGTGTTACATACTTCGTTATTCTCCGTCCCTCTCTCCCTCTCTTCCAGTCCCTTTCTCCCTCTCCTCCCTTTCCCTCTCTTCCCCTCTCTGTTTTTCTCCCTCCTCCCTCCCTCTCCCGCCTCCTCCTTTCCTACTCTTCCCTTCTCCCACTTTCCTCCTCTCCCACTCTTCCTCCCAGTCCACTGCTCAATTTTCTCTTCTACAAGGCTACAAACACAACCTGAGCATGCACCTCTTAGCTCGGGCAAGGTTTACTGACTGCTCATTTCACCACTAGATGGCGCTACACAACACATTCAAACTAGTCAGTTCTCAAACGAGAAGGAATTTTGTTTATATCCTTTCAAAGAATCTCTCTTGCATTCCTAATGGCAAGTACTTAACTGCATTATTAATAAACACTCCCCCTTTCCTGCCACACATCTGCCATCATCCGACGACTCCTGAGACTGGTTAAAACCGTACTCAGTGGTACAGAACTCAAGTGACCCAAGGACTTGCGTTCAGGTACCCGAGGAATGCCAACCAGTCAAGGATTGTATCATTGGAAGAATGAATTAGGAGAGAACCGAGCCCTGGCTCAGTTCCTAAACCTTGGCTTCACATATGTTTTCTTACTAGCTGTAGTCATATACCCCACAGAGATTTTTAAAGTGTATCAAATTAGCACACATCCTGAAGTGTTGAGCATCTGATCAAGGTGAAGGGCAGAGGGCAAGTGTTGCTTCAGCGCCGTTTCCTCCCTTTGTGCCTATATGAAAGCCACATATCTGACGAGAAACTTTACTTCCACAATTTTAACTCATTACTTAAGGATAACAAACTTCCCAGACTTCAGGGTTTAATTCTGTTGGAAAAAACAGACCAAGAGCCTACCCTTGATTATTGAGTTTTGTAATCTGGTTTTTGGATGGGGTGCCTCATAGGGAGCCAGGCTAGTTCCAAACTTGTGGTCTTCCCAAGTCAGCCTGCAGAGTCCTGGAGTTACACGGTGGGGCACTGTGCCTGGCAAAACCAGTTCTCTTTATGGACCATACCTCTATTAAGTGGGGGTAGATGGTATTTCCCCCTTGGGAAAAGAGCTACTTGTACAGGGTTCCTGCCTGGACCCAGCAATGGCGCTGATGGTGGCTACAGTTTACAGTTGTTCAATGTGTCCCTTGGAGAGATGACCAGTTCTTATGGCTGTTTACACCAAGGAGGTTTGTTTGCTCTGTGACCAGCATTCTTCATGATCTGAACATCTGGTCTATGTAAGGTTAGCCCCTGCTGTCATTAATTGCACAGGCCCACTTTATTCCCATGACCCGTCTGAAATACAGACTTGGCACTTATTCATCCCTAGCCAATCAACCGGTTTATTTATATGAGACAAATATTTGGGCCAGAGTGTTTTCTTTTAAGGGAAGGTGGGGCAGGAGATCACAACACTGTGGGGGGACTTCCACCCAGAGATTATCTTTGCTTTCTCACATGAAGTGAAGCAGCACACGGTACCCCTCAGATTACAAGGGGAGGCATACAGGACTCACGGTATTTCAGCTCCAGGATAATCGGAGCCTCTTCTGTACCTGGCACATCTAAGTCATTCCCTAAACATTGATTGAATAATTTAATTAATCATACAGATTCTATCCCTTCCCTATCTATTAAATATATACTTATATGCATATATACATGCACAACACACACACACACACACACACACACACACACACACACACACGACTGATTAAATTATCAGTGGCATCTCCAGGGAGAGAACCCAGAATTCAGACAATGACTGCAGGTGGAAGTGTATTCATGGAAGAAATAGCTCCATTTTTCCCCACAGATATGAACCCCCTGGACTCAGAGGCCTTCTTTGCTTACTCAAGGACACAGTCTCTGGACTTCAGTCCCTATGACCTTGCATGGGTGGCCAGGATCTGCACCTCCTTTGGCTTAAATTTCAGACTCTTTGTGCAGAAGGGGATGGTGGTGCAGGGGGTGGGAATGGTTCCTGGAGGTCCTCTGCAGCTGCTCCCAGCTGCCACAAAATGCAGTTCTCCCGGAAGCCGGAAGTTCCTTTGCTAAGTTGACTCTCTAGTGGCCTTGAAAAATAAAGCCATGATCACGAAAGGTTAAAACTTTCACATTTTAATTAAGTCAGGAGAACACTAACTCCAAAACTCCAAGCTGAGGAATCGTCTGTCTTTACCGTATGCTATAATATGATAGTCTTCTCAGCTTAAATGGTCTAGAATTGCTAATGAAGGGAATTAAAACGTGGGACACGCTAGTACCAAAGACAACATAACGAATGCTTCCTATTATGGCCCAAATAAAGATATAGGGTGTTAGAGGAGCCACGTATAAGCATGTGTGTTTTCGTGAACGTGTGGATGGATAAATAGATACAAAACAGACAGATGCATAGCAGGCCCTCTATATCTACAAGTTGTGCATTCAGAGACTCAGCCAACTGTGTATGAAAACATGCAGAAAACATTACATCTGTGTTGAACATGTCCTGTCTTTTTTTCTGTTATTGTTCCCTAGACATTACTGTAGAGGCTCTTTACATAAAACTTGCATTGTATCACGCATTATAAATAACGCACACATGATTTAAAGTGCAGAGGACAATGTTTTAACTTATGTGCAAATATTGTCCCATTCCTAGGAAGAACTTGAGCATCTGAAAAGTTTGACGTTTACCAGGGGAGGGGACCAATGTCCCACAGATACCAAAGGAGGAGTGTATATACACATGAATCGGTACATGTATAATTTATTTAAATAATTTACAGATATATGTCCTTTGTCTCCGTAGGGAAAATGGAATACACTTTCTCTGCAGATGTAATAAACAAGCAGGGGCAGGGCCCCCTCTCATTCAGTTCAAAGTTCACCTGCCCTTGAACTGCAATAGAGGCCACTGGTCTTGACTTCCAGTAAAGATCTCTGCATTTGGGAGAGAGCGAAGTTATTTCCACTCGCCTTTATGATCATACCACACCACTCGTGCAATGGAAACAGATACAGTTCGCTTTGAACGACTGCTGTCACGTGACGTGCGAGCCGCAGACATTTGTTGCACTGATACCATGTCTGCTAAATTAAGTCGTGAGGAATGCTTTTCAAACCCAACAGGGTGGAGTTTCATACCCAGAATCCTCCACTGGAGTGTCCTGAGTTGTTAGGAACAAGCCTTCACACACACACACACACAAAAAAAAAAATTGCCAGGAGACTTGTTAGCCTACTCCAGTCATGTCAAGAGACCAGGGTCCATCAATCCCACCCTCTTAATCTTAAATTGAGAGGCCTGTGTTACATAGAGACCCGAGGTCTATACAGTGAGTCACCCGTTAAAGGTTACAGCTAAGACATCAAAGGCTTTAAATCAATAAGGAAAACCTCCTGTTAAGACGCTGAATAACAAATTCATTTGCATTTTCTATGATTTGTTTCAAAGATGGACTTATACTCTATGCTGGAAACACAGCTTATGTTTTATTTTCTTCTCAATGATGGAAATATATAGACACATCTCATCAACGAGAGTTTCTAACTCTCAAACTCCTCCGAGAGATTTCTTCAAACTTCCTAAAAGCAAGTTTTCTCCCTTCATAAGGACAGTAGGGGGCACTGCCACAGCAAACTGTTAACAAATGAGAGAAAGAGAGAGAGAGAGAGAGAGAGAGAGAAGGGGAGAAGAAAGATAAAAAGAACGAAGAAACAAAAAGAGAAAGGGAGGATAGAGGGAAGAGAAAAAGAAAGGATGAAAGAAATAGAGAGAAATAAAGAATGAAAGGAATAGATAGAAAGAAAGAAGAAAGCAAAGGAAGAAAAAGAAGCAGAGACTAGACATCTTTTTTAATTTCCCCATGACAATAAGCATCTAGAAATAAATACATATTACGAATATTTTTCTCTTCCCTACTTTTCTTCTCTTTAATTTTTCAATAGAAAGGTTGTTTTTGTTTTGTTTTTTCCTCTGCGTGTGTATATGTGTCTGTCTGTGTAGTGTGTCCTTGTCTGTGTCTGTGTCTGTGTAACTGTGCGCATGTGCGTGTGTGACCTTACATATGTGGTAGAAATTCTCTATTGCAGGTTTGGGGCAATTTAGAAAGGTCTACTCAGACCCTTGTTCTATATATTAGGTAGATATAAGTAACCAAAATGGACAGTAACTTTAAGTTATTCTGTATGGGATTTTCTCATATAGAGAGTTAAGTCTTCAGTCTTTCTCATGAACATCAAACTCCAAGTTCAGAGTCAAGAAGAAAAAGAACTGTGGGGAAAATTTCATTAAATAATCCCATAATCCAGGCTCCACAGGTTGTTGCTTTTTTTTTAAAGGGAGTTTTTCATATTACTCTGTGAACTTAAATTTATGCATTCAATAAAAAAAACACTCACTGTGAATGTTAAAACAAAGACATTGTTCCGACACTTGGAAAATTAAATTCACCAAACCATGAAGTCTACTGTGCAGTTATTTTTGTAACCGCCATAAATTGCTTTTTAGAACTCCTCTGCCGGGGGTAAACAACCCGAGGAGATCTCCTTCATAGCTTACCACCAGCTTCCAAAGGCCAGGGCAGCCTCAAAGTTTATGACTTTTGCTTTTCATTCTTTCCCTGCCTTTTTTTTTTTTTTAAGTAGTTGCGTTTTTAGTTACCTTGAAACCTTCCTGCTTTTACACGATTTCAGAAAGTCCCACAGAAAATCAGATCCAGGTCTGTGGATATACTGTGCCCTCAAACACACGGTGCTGGAATAAGAAGAAACAATCCTACCTTGTGGAAATAAAGTTTATAGAGCAAAACGAAAATAAAGGAGGTCAGTACTAAATATTTCACCATATTTAATAGTACCTCAGAGCCTGCGGCTGGCCTAGACATTTCAGACTGATGGCTTAAAACGCGTCCCTCCCAGCACTGTACGAGGCCCAATTCAATTCCAGCAGCTACAGATAAGAGCTTTAGGGTGTTTAGCCATTCCTCTCTCGTGTCCTTGAGGAATAGCACAGAACTGCCTTTGTGTTAAGAAGAAGGACCTGTTGTCCAGATTCAACAGGTCAGTTTTTAAGAACTTCCAGAGGGTACAAGGTAAATGTCGGAAGCGTGGAGTGGGGGGGGGGAGTTTTTTAAGTGGCTGATGATTTTAAATGATATATATTCTGTATCGGGGAAGGCTGATTGTTTTTCTTTCCAATGAATGGAAAGCTGCTGTTTTTAGAAGTGTTTAATGTTTGAATCTGATTTTTTTTTTTAGGACTAAACTATAAATTCCGCTTCTGAAATCGATCTGAACATGCTCTTGATCCTACACGCAAATACACTCGTCACATCATGCCCTTCTCTGTTTTATGAATGGTTCCTTCGCTGTATCTCAATTGTGTCATAACTTTTCTAATATTGTTTCAGTTATAATGAGAATGAATGTTTTATGAACAGGCTGAACTTTATAAAATGGGAAAATTCTAACCATATGATTTTTCCTTGAACTTGGAGGGTGGGGGTAGGGATGATGAGTATTTTTTTTTTTAACCTCAAACTCAATCCAGGCCATGCTAGAGTTTATTAGAGTTTGACTAACTCTTATGGGTGATCTGCATTTGACACTGGCAAATAAACTTACCTTGCTTTTTCCACGATTTCTTAAAATATGTGTGTGTGTGTGTGTATCAACTTCTTTTCCCTTTTAAATTAGCTATCTTATTTGTAAAGATAATTGTCCAGAGCTCTTTAGAAAAGTTTCTGTCAGGCTAATGGTATTACCACGGAAATGTTCTTTAAAAACGCAGCGACTGGCTGCTGGCACTTGCTGGGACATAGATTATGGAAACGACATGGACTCCAGGCACTTGACACTTTTACAAAGTCTCTATATGACTTACCACTTTGGACAACTATCTGGCAAAGGGTCAAGGCAAATAAATACTGGTGCAAATACCGTGTTAACCACAGGGAATTACTCTCAAAGATAAAGGAACAGAAAGAGGCTTCCGTTAGTGGGATAACCCAGTAATGACGAACAGGTTTCTGACTTTAAAGAAAACTCTCTCGAGTCTTTCTTTTTCTTTTCCTTCATCTTAATACAAGGGCGACTTCAAGGGGCAGGCTGTTTGGAGGGAAAGGGAGTCCTGAGGATTAAAATGAAGACAACCCCCTTGCCTCTCTCAATCCGCCCCCCTCAAAGAAGAAGAGGGGAATGAGAGCCCTAGTAGGGGACAGCTACTACTTCCCCTTTGCTGTCCCTCCCAAGTCTCCCCCTCTGCTCAGCCTGCGCTCAAAAATACCCATGGGGGTCCCCTGCGCTCACCGGTACCAGGCAAGGCCCTTGTGGTAGCTGCGGTCGAAGAAGTGAGGCTCGGCGCCCACGGCGCGCACGTCGGGGTGCACGCGCAGGAACTCCAGCAGCGCCCTCGTGCCGCCCTTCTTCACGCCGATGATGATGGCCTGCGGCAGCTGCTTGCTCCCCTCGTCCAGGAGTAGGGCCAGGGTCCCGGACTGGGCCTCCGCCACGCTGCTTCCTGCCCCGGAGCCTCCTGGAGCCGCGGTCAGCCCAGGGCTCTGCTCATCCTGGTCGCCGCTGTCGCCTGGTCCGGGCCGCCCGCGTCTCCGCCGTTGCCGCAGCTGCAGGAGACGCTTCCTTTGCGCCCCCGCCGGCCACGCCGCCAGCTCCCTCGGTCCTGCAGAG